GCCATCTACATATTTTCTAACCTTCATCTTTATTTACAGTCATGTTATTGCCATCTACATATTTCCTAACCTTTCATCTTTATTTACAGTCATGTTATTGCCATCTACATATTTCCTAACCTTTCATCTTTATTTACAGTCATATTATCGCCATCTACATATTTTCTAACCCTTCATCTTTATTTACAGTCATATTATTTGGTTGAGCCAAAATAACCGTCTTTTCCACTGGATAATATGTCCAATATAATTTACGTGTTCATCTAATTCAGATTTTTAACATTTCTCTTTTGTTCATTTATTCTAAATTTTAATTTTCTTCCAATTTAACCAATCTATGCAAGACCACATTCCCATTGAACTTTTTTTATACCTGTTTTATTCAATGGTCTCTAAATGGCAATATGAATTGTTTTTGTTTTTATGAAAAAATTGACATGATAAACCTGGCATATATGGTAATTATATTTGACCAAATGTAGATTTTAGTTTACTTTTTGGTAAACATTTTGTTAGTTTTCCTCAGGGCTCTATCAACAATATGAGGGGAGAAACCTCCAGCTAATGCTGGGTTAGATTGTACTTTACAAAGTGGTTTGGAACATAATATATATTATCTATATTTTATTCTGAACCACTTCCAAAATACAATCTAACCGAACTTCAAACCACTGTTGTAAATTAAGATCTATACTATGTTCTAAACCACTTTGTGTAAAGTACAGTCTAACCCAACTTCAAATCATTGTTGTCAGTCAACATCTATACTATGTTCTAAACCACTTTGTGTAAAGTACAGTCTAACCCAACTTCAAATCATTGTTGTCAGTCAACATCTATACTATGTTCTAAACCACTTTGTGTAAAGTACAGTCCAACCCAACTTCAAACCAGTGTTGTCAGTCAACATCTATACTATGTTCTAAACCACTTTGTGTAAAGTACAGTCTAACCTAACTTCAAACCAGTGTTGTAAATCAAGATCTATTCTAAACCACCTTGAAAATTACAAGCTAACGTAACCTCAAATCAGTGCTGTAAATCAAGATCTAAGTTTTAAACCACTTTTTAAAGTACAAACTAGGCTACTTATTTAATACCATTATCTAAAAATCTGAACAACACTACTTCAACAAATATTTTTCAAAAATTCTGGTTCAATGTTTCCACTATTCATTTACTATAATTGCCTAGAGATACTGTTTCA